AAAAATATTTAAGAACTAATTTGGAATTAGCGGATTTTAACTATTTAATAAAAAAATAATAGGCTTGAAATACTACTTATAAAAAATATGAAAATATTAAACGAAATAAATAAAATTTTATGACTAAATAGCAGCCGAAAATATAACCTTATTTCACTAATTTTTTCATATTTGCATTAAAAAACCAAAAGTAAAATTTAGTAGTCCGCCAATATAGCTTATAGCCTTTTTAATTTCGAAAATAAACTTATAAATAAAAAGATTAAAGAAAGTTATTAGTACGAAAATGTGATCGATTTTTATAATTTTTAATTTTTTTTTTGTGTGGAGCTAAAAGTTATTGCATATTTTTTATTTATTTTTCAAAGTAATTTACTTACAACAAAATCCAAAGATCTATCAAAGATATATTCGCCGCTTTGTTCGATTACCTTTTCACCGGTCTTTTCTGGCAGCATCCATCCGAATTGATTTTTCGGTTCTTTGGTAGGAGTTCATCATACCTACCACATTGAGCGCACAACTTTTCTTTGACGGAGTTCTGCTCTTGGTGTCGCTTTAGACAAATTATAACGTTATGGCAAATACAAATATTATTGCAAAGAATCCACTTTTCTTAAGGAGTTATTATTCTTAAAAAAAAATGCACCGTCAAACATGCTACTTCAGCCAGAATATCACAGATATCTTCACGCACCTTCAAATGAACTTGTCTGAGTTCATATGGAATCCAAATATCGAGCTTATTATAGAGCACAACGAGCCACTTACTTAAACTTTACTCAAATTTTTACAAGCTTGGCGTGCATTCTTTCTTTCAACTAGTAAAATATGGAAAAATTGGTTGTTGTAAAATCTTTAAAACTCAGCAAAATCGCAATGACTCCAGTGCTGCCATAACTGTACAAACCTATGAGATTACTTTTTTCTTCACTCAAAAATTATAGTAACGCACTAGTAACGACACTATTATATTGCCAAAGATCGTCTTTGCACCTTAACCAACAACATCTGTTACTCGTTTTTCATATGCATAGAAATTAGTAATCATTTACAAAAAATTATTTAAAAGAAAAAAAAACAAGTTATTAAAATGTCCTCTATTTTCTTCTTTTACAGGGAAGCATTTGGGCTGAGACGACGCGAAAAACTTCAATCTGAAATTGAATAGAAGGAAAATTTTGCAAAAACCCTCGACTTTTGCACTCAAGCCCCGACTCTCACTCGAGTTTTAAAATATATTTTTTAATTTAAATTTTCCGTTAAAAAAACAAGCGAATCTTTAACCAAGATGCCGAAGCCAATTGCTAGCCAGGAGGATGAGGATCCAACCCCATACCTGTTCGTGTCTTTGGAACAAAGACGTATCGATCAATCGAAACCTTATGACTCCAAGAAGAATTGCTGGGTGCCCGATGAGAAGGAGGGTTATCTTCTTGGTGAAATTAAGGCCACCAAGGGTGACATTGTCTCCGTGGGCCTGCCCGGCGGTGAGGTAAAATATGCGTAAACCAATGGGTGTATGCAGAATTGGCGTACAACAACACGAAACAAATTAAAAAAAAAAAAAAATATTTGCGAAGAAATTGAGCGTTGTTGCAAGAAAAAAAAGAAGCATATGAAGCTAAAAGTATATGTAGCAAGAAGAGTAAAGTCAATTTTCAGTTTTTAGTAAACAAAGTTTAGGCGTTATTTTTGGAGCATAACTTTTTTTTTATTGCTAAAAAAATTGATATCGATCAGAAAGCTTTATTGACGGCCTTTAGTTCTTTTTTCCAATATTATTATTGCTTTTAGTTTTTTATTGAATTTTGCTGCAAAAAAAAATTTTAACAAAATTCATATTAAAAATAGTTAGATATTTATTTGTTTTCAATTTATTTTAGAATTCATTCTTCTGATGCTTTTAAGTTTTAAATTTAATTTCCTTAAATTTTTTTGTTGGCGAAAACTAGCTTTTTAACGTAGAGAACAAAAAATTTTAATAATTTCAATTTTCTATCACATGACTATGAAAAAAAAAACAATAGACAAAGGATTTTAAAGCCGACCTGGTTGAAAAAACGAACCCTCCGAAATTCGAAAAAATCGAAGATATGGCCGACATGACTGTGCTCAATACGCCTTGCGTCTTGCACAATTTGCGACAACGTTACTACGCCAAATTGATCTACGTAAGTTTCGCCAGAACGTAACACTAATCTAGCTTTCTTTTTTCTCTCTCTCTCTCTCTGACCTCCACTTGTAAAATACTCACCCATTAAAAAAAAAAAAAACCAATGAAAAATCCCTAACGATTTTAATGCAAACAAATGTAAATATAAAATTAAAATAAAAAACAATTCAAAAAATCGGGTGCATAACTGGAAAAAAATTATTAATTAAAAACATAAACATGACATATAAACGCATGAAATGTAACGCTAACTCTAACAAAAGACGAAAGACTTCAAGAAAGATCAGCTCCAACAAGTCAATCCTCCAAAATACGAAAAAGCTGAGGATATGTCCAACTTGACATATCTGAACGACGCCTCTGTGCTCCATAACTTGAGACAGAGATACTACAACAAGCTTATCTACGTAAGTATGGCGGGAACCGGTTGTATGAACTCTCGAAACGGGTTCCACAACAAACCTGCTATGTTTGCTTTGAATGTTTTTGCTTTTTTAATTGCCTTTGTATTTGTTATTGTATTTAATAAACTTATGAAAAAAAGATTATGCATACCAGTAGTTCTACTGTCATACATAAACACATACTCACACAATCCAATCATAAAACAATCAGTGAAAACTTTAATAAATAATAAAAAAAAAATATACTATTAGTAATACCGAATTCCTACTAGGCATTGCAATGGCAAGAATTACAAGAAAAAAATTTTACATTTAAATGAAAACCGACTTAGTAGCGAATTTCTACAAGGCAAGGTAGACTATTCACATTGATGTAACGCCCTCCTTAGTCATTCATATTTTTGTCATGCAATGTCGAGTGAAAACCAAACATAAATGTTTTATTTTATTTTTATTTTTATTTATTTTATCTCAACGCCCAGTGAACATGGGGCATAATATGTTTAGGCAGCTGACTTAAAATAGAAGCTATTACTCGTCAAACTAATGCAAAATTCAGTTTAATAACAGGGCTAACAGCTTCCAGTAATGTAATGAGGAAACATGTCTTCTCAAATTAATTTATTAAAAATTTATAAAAGTTAATACATATTCTGTAAACACGGAAGAAAAAGAAACTTAAAAGAGCGTTAATTGACAACGAAAAATATATTTCGCATAGTTTATAACTCTCACAAAAATTTTAAATCAGAAAAGTAAACTAAAATCGATGAAAAAAATCGCCTTTTTGCATTGAAAATAAAATGAATTTAGAATGCTTTATTAAAAGGAAAAATGTAAGGAAATGTCATTTAATAAAGTATTTTGAACTTTATTTTTATTTTTATGTGATTGGGCGGTTATTTTTTCCTCGAGTTTATTTAGAATTGTGGAAGTTATTTCTTTGTTCGTTTTATTTGATTTTTAGTAGAAAATAAATTTATTCAAAGTAAAAATTTTGAAAAAGAAGATAGCTCTTTATTATAAGAAATTAAGATTTATTAATTATGAATATAAAAAAAAATATTAAAAAGTTTGAATATAAATATTTTTGGTGTTTAAACTAAAAAAAACAAAAGTCAACGCTGTCCCATAACAAATGTGATCAAAATTATAAAAAAGTTAACTAGTTTTATTACTAAATAAATAAAAAACTAAATTAAAAACCATATCTGACACTACGAGTATATGTACCAAAAATAAAATAATAATTTTTATTAACAAAAAGTCAATCACACTGTAATAAAGGTGTGCTCAAACATGCGCGGTACGGTATTGGGCAGTAAAATCCAGTACGATGCAAATGTCTTGTTCCGGGCAGTTTCTTGAGTGCGATGGCATTAAACGTTGCAAATCGTACGAGATATTACCGCACCGCATCGGTCGGCACCTGTTTGAGCAGACTTTAATACTTTGGAAATCTTTTCATCGCATTTCTCACCACCTATTTAACCACTCACGTCACTAAGTATCATTGCCACATTAGTAGAAACACTTATCAAATGCGCTAACACTGCAACATACTAATCATACAAGAAGCAAAAATACCAATTACTTTTGGTAATTTCTTGCGCCAACTCATCAGTGAATGCCATACAAAAAACACAACAAAAGCACCAAAGCACCGCAACGCAGTAGAAGGATTGACTGAAACTGGAAAAACCACATTGGTAAACATACACATTTTAAGTAAAAATCGATTATCATGAAAAATACACTCTCTCAAGAATGGATTAAACATTTACCCGAGCCTCACAATCCATACATAAAAATCCACTGCATAACACACCTGAATGTACACTATCTCGACACCACCACAACCACCACAACCACCACCACCCCACCACAAACACATCACATCTTTTGCGTCCAAAG